ACGCACGGCCTTTTTATGAGAAGTTTTTTGAGTATTAGCTCCGCTCTTAAAAGCCCTTAGTGGTCACCCTTACCATCGGAGACAGAAATCCGTGAGGTAGGGTGAGGTGTAACATGTTGAGAGTTGACCTTGTCTAACCTCTTCCTTCCTTTCTTGTGAGAAGGCAGCATCGCTTCACATGCTGGTTGTCCGAGGGAAACACCTTACTGCTGTCACACCTCACTGCAGTCAACAGTACGACTTCGCCCTCAGACCTTGAGTAGCTGCTTTTAGTCTCATCGTTCTCCGATCGACCTGTCTGGCATGTTAGAATCTTCAGGAACATAAGTTCCAGCCAATATAGATCGGTTGGATCATCACGATAGACAAGCCCGAACACCACATCAAGGTAGCAGCTACGGTCGGGTATTGATACATACAACGGGGCAGCTCTAAGTTCGATTGATATTATTGTCCATTGTTCCTCGGTTTTCAATTGTCGTGCGTTGAATGTCATCAGAACGTAGGGAAAATCATTAATTTCAAACTGAATTAATTATTCAACTCATAAATCTCATTCAAAATAAAAATAAGGCAACTAATTAGGTCAACTGGTCTAGTGACAGTTTCATTTTTCGAACTTTCTAGAATTTTATATGAATATATCATCAAACAACTAGTCAACCTGCCGAGATATAAAGTATACGTAATAAATAACCATGTGACTGAATTTGAAATAAACCGATTCGCTATTTTTTCGAATTTTAAGTACAAACAAGATATATTCAGTTTTAACTGGTGTCATAGAGAGAATAATAATCACTTAACTGAATGTTTTTGTACTCGGTCGGTTCAAATCCTTTGATGTTTAAATCTCCTCTAAAAATGGTCATAATTAGAACATCAAATTGACCAAAAAAAGAGAAAGCTAAATCTGTTGTGTTTTTTAGTTTATGAAGTCAATTTACAAATCTAAATAAGTAAAATTTGTTTTAAAATTAGTTTTAAAATTATTATTTGAATTTGCTTTTTAATATATTCTTTCAGCACAACAAATCAAATTAATTTTAGCAAAAATTCAATTTTTAAAATGTCCAACATGGCTTACATTATTATTACATGAAAAATAAAACTTTAAAGTAATTTTAATTCGCGCTAAAAATGAAGTTTGTGTAAATAAGAAACTTATAATTACTTAAATTAAACATTTTATTAGTTCATATTTGTATAGATTAATGCAACACAGAAGAGATTTTCGTAGCGATGATTATCTAACCGGTCATCATCATCATCATCACCGTATACATAAGGACATATCTGCCAAAATGGTTGATTCATAACTAAAATGTCGCCGAGTGAATTGGCTTAATCACCTGACCATTACATTTGGTTTATTTTTATTGGTTGTCTGGATAACTCTAACCTTGAGCATCTTTATCTTCATTGGTTTATCCTGGTCATTTCACATGACCATAGATATATATGTACCAATAGAGTAATTAAAAGTAAAATATAAATAACTCATACTGTGGTGCGCGCTACTTATAAGTAGTATATGACGCGAGTGAAAACGTAATGTCTGGCAACAGAAGATGGGGGAAGATCAAGAAAGGAAGAGTGGGAACACAATGGAATTTGTATGAAATGCATGAATAATAGTGAAATGTCAGACAATGGATTGATGATGGATTGAAGATTTGCAAATTAACCGTTTACGATATGGTTTTACTATTTTACTGAATAACTCTGTAATTTTCGTTAAATACAATTTTCGGTTGCCCTCACCTGTGTTCTTCTTCACTACATTTGGTGTCGCTGCCAACACGAAGGAAGGAGCTCCCGTGGCCGAAGGAGTTTGAGGCCGTGGTGGGGCTGGTGGGTGTGAAGGGGCCCGAGGCGGAGTTGGTGGTGCTGGGGACGCTACGGGGTGGTGAGGCAAACGCTGTATGCGACAGCTTGGACGGTGCGGCCGGGAAGATGGCGTGGGAGATGGTCACCGGGCAGCTGATGACGGAGTTCGGTTGCCCTCACCTGTGTTCTCCTTCACTACAATATTATACTAACTTAAATGACAGAATGAATAATGAAGGTTAGAGTATTGTACGTACAACAGAATACGATAGTGTAATAAAAAACGAAGTCTTACACTGACGCAATGAATGATGTGAATGATGTGAAGTGAAGTGAATGATGCCTGCACCAGTATATACATCATCTTCTGTTATCATACATCGTATCAAAGATGTTAGAGTTGATTACTGGTATGCTAGAATTCAGACCAGACGTTGTCAAAATATCCTGCCAACTAATCAAAGTTCGCATAGTATACATTGTGGACTGATCAGGAACCAGGAATCAGAGGACAGCTGTTTCCTCCTAGTACGTAAATCCTTAGCAACAATCTTTCATGGCTCCTGATTGGGACTGCAATTTGGAACTTTCAACATCATGGTGATCAGTTAACCTCTAGACCACTGAGATACACTATCCAGTGGTGTACATGCCTAACTGTGATCAGTTTTCAATACTGCTCAACCACCTCTCAGTGTCATGTGCGCGTAATTGTCTTATACTAGATGTGATTGAACTTAACTTGTCAATACAAAACCTGGAATTACTCTTAAGACGTTAGTCACCAGTGAAACATCTATACAAAGTTTTCTGATTTCTAATGATTGTCTAAGATCAGTCTGGGATGCAAACTGTGATAGCTATATTTTACGGTGTAGGAATAGGTTGGACGAAAGCTAAAGGGGGGCCAGACCAAAACATGGCACAAATCCATAAAGTCACTGACAAGTGGACTGAGTCATGTCGGTAGGTGTCGACTACCTGGTGCGAGATGTCAGTAATCGATGGGTAGAGACCCTGAATGACATAGATCAAAACCGTTTGCAATGGCGCCGGTGCATTTATTCTTTGTGTTCTCTCAAACCCTAAACTTTTTAATTGCTCATCACTTTATCTTTATCATTCTAAGACTATTTCACTAGATTCTACTTCTTGAATAATAATATCTTCTAATTCTAACTTCTCCGACTACAGCTAATACCTTTACTACTGTTGGATTTGAATTGACACTTACATCTCTGTGCTAACGTGGTATTGCAACGTGAACTGATGTACTTACGTACAAAGTTCTACGTTGACTGACTGACTGACTGATAGATGTCTTAGAAGCATTGCTCGTGTATCGTGAGACACCCGAGTATGCAATGCTGCCATTGGAAAGCGAGTACTGAGTAAGGATGGCAGATCAATCGATGAAGTATTGAAATTTGATCGGTTGAGGTGGTTGAGACATGTGTCACAAATGCTCACCTGCCGACTACCTCGTCGAGCTGTTGTGTTGTGTAGGAGTAGGTTGGAAGGAAGCTAGGGGCGGCCAAACTAAGATGTGGCACAAACCCATGAAGTTACTGACAACTAGACTAAGTCATGTTGGTAGAATAAAGACTACTTGGTTGAGGTTCGCGAGACAACTGTAACCAATGGTTAGAGACTTTGAATGACATGGTTTAAAATCGTTTGCAATGGCGCCGGTGCATCCATTCTTTGTGTTCTCTCAAATCTAATCTTCTGGATTCGTCGGCACCTTTACCTTTGTCTTTCTAAACTTATCTCACGAAGTTCTACGTTGCTATTGATTAATTGATTGATTAACGCAAAATGTGATAATTCAATCATCTTCACAAGTCCTTGTATACTACTAATAATTGCGTGTTTACTGATGACTAACGTGTACAGAATACTTCAGTTTCAGACTGCGTGTTTATTGGTGACTAACTACAGTACGGAAATGTGGACAGATGTAAGCATGATGCAACTACAAGAAATCACTGTTTAAAAAACAAAGATGAATAATGTAGTCCTGGGTCGGTCTCATTTTCTTTTGATTAAAAACTATTTATTTATCTGATTTATGGCTTGAAATAGATGCTTTAAACAAACTTGGTTTAAAGTGAACGAGAACACAGGTGGGGCAACCGAATTGTATTTAACGAAAATTACAGAGTTACTCAGTAAAATAGGAAAACCATATCGTAAATGGTTAATTTCCAAAATACCAGTTCATCATATCGAACTGGACTGTTCCTGTTGCAAAACATCAATCCATTGTCACTCACTATTCATGCGTTTCATACAAATTCCATTGTGTTCTTCTAACTCTTCCTTTCTTGATCTTCCTCCATCTTCTGCTGCCAGACATTATACTGACACTCACGTCATATACTACTGATAAGTAGCTCGCACTACTGGTTCATTAATGATCCTAAGTGACCAATGCTAACAGTAGATTATGAATGTCTTATTCACTTTAATTGATACCACATGTTTCATGATCATTTGTAATTTCTACATATGAAATAAGCATCTTAATAGTAATAATGATATTACTAACAGTAGTATTGAAAAGTACCAACTAAATCAACCTGCCCATCACAAGATACATCATACACTAACTACATGAACATGAATGTACACACACACAAACAAAATTCAAAGATTAAAACCATATCAGCATTCAATAATATAAGATAGAATCATTCAACTTGTGAAATCTGACAATGCACATTTTTAACAGTTAGTTAATTCTGTTGACATTTATCACAATTTAGTGCACATACAATCAGTGTGATTATGTATAGATGAAGTTGTTGAGGTTATTTTTGTTGTTGTAGTAAAATCAGAAAAAAAATAATTGATAACGAAATAAAGATTATGATCAAGTGAAAGAAAGTAAAGAGAATCCTTTTATTGAAAGATTGAATTCTTATTTTAATATTGTTCATCTCTTAAAAAGTAAATGTATCCTAGATATTGAACATGGGATGAATTGGTTTACATGATATTGGTGTGTGTGGTGTGTGTGTTGGTTGAGGCTTGTTCGTGATGGCAACCTAGGTCGTACGCCCCCGTCATCATAGAGTAGTTTAGTACCGGGTGGACGTGGGAACACGGTCCAGAAGAGGACAAACCAGCCAGCCACCTGGGAGACTAAAGGCTAGCACTAACGTTCTATGTTGAACAGGTTGCAAGGTGGAGTTGCCGGTAATCCAGCCGGACCAAGGGAGGAAGCTCCGAATGTAAGAAGGTTGGACGTTGGGCAGATGGGGTCACGACATCAAGGATGTGTGTGCACACATTAGAGTTAATTCACTGTAATTTTTTTCTCTTTATTAATTGTGCTCACAGTATCGCCCTTGGGGTTTATTGCGGCTAATTACAATATTCTTGCCTTGCCTCAGTCTTCTAATATTATCGTCTCCTTCATTATTAGCGAACACCCTAATTTGCGCATTAATTTACATTTACTGTAGGTAGCGCATGTTTATTTCATTGTTCCAACTCTTAGATTAGTTCGTTACTTCGGTATATAAACTTAACATTGTTTTATTTTATCCGATTATCAAAAGTTGCTAGGGGAGCTTGAGGCGTGCCCTCTTGCGTATGTTTTTACTTTATTTTGCCCCGCGCAACTGGATAAAAGATGCTTCCTCCTATTGATGAGATGTTCAATGCTTGGATCTTAGAATTACAACACATCCTTGACTTTTCCTTTCCGTGGTCATATCTTAACTTCTTCCGGTTTTACGTTTTGCTCCTGGTAATCGACAAGCTCTATGCATTATTGAAAATGTCCTCATAAGTGGTCTCCCTGCCCACATGTTTTTGCTACTTACTCTCGTTGATGTACGGTTTTTGCTTTCCTGTCACTCCGGCGCTACACGCCGACGCCCCCTGCCTACTCCCGATTTGGCTCGGACCAAGGCAATTGAAACACAACGGTAGGCAGACCACATACCACTGGACTGCCTCCTGCATCTTCCTACAACGTAGACAACAGGGCTATCTCCTCCTTGGGGCTGGTTAATCGTGGCGATCATATTCTTGGCTGCTCAAACACTATGCTGAGCATACCCCGCCTACATGCACCTATCGTCTAACCTTCACTGCCAAGGGTGCGCAGATTCCAGACGCGGAGCCCGACATACTTTCTCCTAAGTACATCCCAATAACTCTGCTTTGTCCTCATCCCACAAACCCAATATTCCGGTTCCCCGAAACTGACGCCATTGTGCCGTGGTTTCACTGCCTTCCCATCCGCTGAGGAGAACGCATCGAGGATTTCGGCGGGGATCGTCGGCATACGTCGGTCACGTGTTGGGTGCCCTGCCTTTCGTGGGCCAATCTTTGTGACCCTTCGTATTTTCGCTTTCACTCGGTATCCGCTGTGTTCCACTCCTGGAGTCTTTACAACCCAACGCGTCCCCATCTTACCGTATATCCGGAATCAACCCCACCGCAATTAAGAGGGGCTATCCTCTCATGCGCCTACCCTGTGGTCTTTCCTTCTTAGGCAGCGTACCGTGGTCACGAACACCCTTCTACATGTCGCTGTGCCATATCCCCTATTTGTGCGGCGACCATTACTTCAGCCATCCCCTGTTTTTCCGCTTGCACGCTTGTCCC